AGGTAGGTGAAGGAGGTTGTTTCTTTCAGGTTCTTCCCATTTATGCTTATTGTGGTCTGTTGGTGTTGTTGATGTTGGCTAGGAATCTTCATCATCTCTGTTTTATCTATGTTCACGTGAAGTCCTATCTTTGATGCTTCTTCTGCCAACTTGTTACTTTTCACTTGCATATCTTCCAGTTTATGGGAAATCAGACATATATCATCGGCGAAATCCAGATCCTCCAAGTCTTTTGTGTCAGTCCATTTTATGCCTGTTCCCTCGTTGCCGGTTGTCTGTCGCATTATCCAATCAATTGCAATCAGGAAGATCATTGGTGATAGTAGACAGCCTTGCCTCACTCCCGTCCTCACTTCGAAGGCTTCCGTAAGTTTCCCGTTGTGGATTACTTGGCATGCAGCATTGTCGTATAACTGTTGGATGAGGTGTATAATTGTCGATGGGACCCCGTAGTAGCGAAGTAGTTTCCAAATGACCTCTCGATCGACGCTGTCGAAGGCCTTTTCAAAGTCGATGAAGTTGAGATAGAGAGGTGACTGCCATTCCAAGCTTTGTTCAATGATGATCCGTAGAGTGGCGATTTGATCAATACATGATTTGTTTCTCCTGAATCCAGCCTGTTCCGGACGAAGTTTTTCATCTAGGGCTTGTTTGATTCTCTCCAGGATGATGCGACTTAGTATCTTGCTTGGAATGGACAGAAGCATAATTCCACGCCAGTTTTTACATTGACTTAAGTCTCCTTTCTTTGGAAGTTTGAATAAGTAACTGTTCTTCCAATCCTCGGGTACTTTGCCCTCTTTCCACACCTTCTCCAGCAGTGGTGTCATCAAGTCCGCTGTTGTCTCTGGGTCTATTTTCAAAGCCTCTGCTGGGATTCCATCTGGTCCCGGTGTTTTCCCAGCTTTAAGCATCTTGATTGCATTCAGGACTTCTGATTTCGTCGGGGGGTCAGTGTTCACTGGTAGTTCTGCTTCCGTTGTTGGTATTGCTGGACGTGTTGTAGGTGGCGGACGATTTAGAAGTCTTTTGAAGTGTTCAACCCAGTGCTTTCTCTGTTCCACCTCTTTGGTGATTGACTTTCCATTGTCGTCCTTTATTGGCTTAATCTGTGTCGAACGTTTGCCCGAAAGGTTCCTAGTTGTTTGGTAGAGTGTGGCGAGGTCTCCTTTGCCTGCAGCTTGTTCTGCTTCGTTTGCCATGGTTTCATAATATTTTCTTTTGTCTTCCCTGGCACTTTTCTTCACTCTTTTGTTCAGTGTATTGTAGCTTGCATTCAGCTCCTGTTTTTGTTGCTCGTCAGTGCACTGGATAATCTTTTGCTTCACTGTCCTTCTCTCTTCTATTAGTTTCCAAGTGTCCGTAGTGAGCCACTGTTTGTCCTGTCTCTTTTTTCTGCCTAGAATTTCTATGCAGGTTTGGCTCCACACCGTTTTCAAGTTGTTCCAGTGCTTTTCAACGCCGACCTTTCGCTAGTGTTGATTTGTGTCTCGGCTTTGTCCTTTATGCTTGCAATGAAGATGTCCTTTGTAGCCTGGTCCTTCAGCTTTTGAGTGTTGAACTTGGCTTGTGGTCTATCTGCAGCTCCTGATTCCCTGAAAGCTTTTAATTTGATTTGGATTGTCCCTTGTACGAGATAGTGGTCTGAGCCAACGTCTGCTCCTCTTCTTGCTTTTGTGTCCAGTAGGCTGCGCCTCCACTTCCTTGAGATTGAGATGAAGTCGATTTGGTTTTTGGTTTGCCCGTCTGGTGACACCCATGTAGCCTTGTGGATATCTTTGTGCTTGTATACACTGCCACCAATCACCAGTTCGTTGAAGGCGCAGAAGTCGGCGAAGAGTTCTCCGTTTTCATTCATTTCTCCTAGAGCTTCTCTACCCATGATGAGTTCCCTTCCCGTATTGTCTGGTCCCAGTTTGGCGTTCATGTCTCCCATTAGTATTTTCATGTCGCCAGCTGGAGTATTGTCCATTGTTGCCTGTAGTTGCCTGTAGAATTCTTCTTTCTTCTCGAGGTCTGCGTTGTTTGTGGGTGCATAACATTGTATGATTGACACTTTCCTTCCTTTGGAGTTGAACCTGGCGGTCATTATCCTGGACGAAATCGCCTCCCATTGTATCAGGGCTTTCGTTGCCGTTGGTGACATCATGATAGCCACGCCCTCGGTGTGCGTGTGGTTATCTTCTGGGTGACCGGAGTAGATCACTGACTCACCTGTTGACAATTTGGTGAGTCCACTCCCATTCCATCTGCTCTCACATATTCCCAGCACTTGTATTCCGTATCTTTTCATCTCGTTGGCGATCTGGGCAGCTTTCCAGTCTCGTACATAGTTCGGACGTTCCATGTTCCTACACAGACTTTTTCTTTTGGTGCAAGAGGTTCATAGCTGAAGTTCTGTAGCAATTTTGTTTACAGGGTGGGGTTGCTAGCCTCACGCCTGAGAAAAGAATGATTACATTAAGTAAAAGTTTAGAGAGAAGCAACTTTTTGGGTTGCTCCCCTCAAAATCAGAAAATAACGGACAAACAATGAGAACAACATCAACAAAGGAAACAGTTCACAGAAAAAAGGGCAAAAAGCGACGACAACTATACAATAAGACAACATGCAATATAGTTCAGTACAGTTAACTAAAATGATATCTTAACCATAAACTCACTGACTTGGAGCAACTTGAACATATAAATCCAACAATATATACAATTATAGATGTGTTTATGTTTAAAAATTCCACAAATCCATATATATATATATGTACATATTAATACCGTATGCATATATTGATTGATTTCCGTTTAAAATGAACTTCTGTGCAAGTATTTTAAAATTGTTTCTGTAGATATACTTAATAATGACTGTGGCCTGTAAGGAGCTGATGAGACGGCAACGAAAAAAATGATGGCATGGCTTTATTCTGCAAAAACTGTAGTTCTCGCTTTATTTGAAACTACTTCTGTTATTCATGAAAGTTTACTGTTATTATATTTATCAGAAAAGCCGAAGTCATGCTGTTTCACAAAGGTCTCAGGCATCCATCAGTAGAATTAAGCCCTCCCTACTATATATGTACGCTTAACCTACCTTGGTAATCCTTATGCAATTACATTACCAATGAGTAGAGGTAATTATCATCCTTCTTATGCTTAAATTACTCATCATTTTATTTGATGGATGGTAACTATCAATCGAATCTAGGATAGGCATTTCGTCCCTCTTGAGACTCCTCACATGAATCTGTATGCAATTTCAGTGAGTTTTGACTGGTGGGTCAATTTTTCATTCTTCATATGAAGTGAACTGATCAGCAAACAATACTATCAGATTATTTGAAATGCATTGCTCAGGTGAATCACAACACTTTGAGATAAACTCTGTCTTTTAATAATCCCATCCAAATTTCAGCAGTCTGTTAAGAGATTACTATCGCTTGCGTATAAGTAATATAAACGTGATGTAACATGTTTTTAATAGAGAAAGCTCCTATTTTAAAAGTTTCAGATTAAGACCACGGAATGATATCAGTTAGAGCACCACTAAAACCAGGGATTACTGGACAGCTATTTCATCCTAGTTTCAGATTCATCGGCAGTATGCACCAAGTGGGTGTCGAACCCAGTATCACGAATCGGCAGAAGTTAGAATTCATGGGCTGGCCGTTGGACTGGGTCACACTAGCTGAATAGTCTACAAGCAAACCTTGTTACCGGAAGGTTCTGGGTTCAAATCCTGGTGGTAGGTGCGTAATGCTAATGATTCCCAAAGTAGAAGGAAGGACGAATCAGCTGTCCAATACTCCAGTGCTCATTTTCAATGCTTGTCTAACTGATATCAATCCGCGGTCTAACCTGAAACTAAAAGAATCCACTCACACTAATTCATGAGAATATTTGCAAAGGGTTTCTAAACACTGCATCCAATGCCTTCCCAATTATTCAACTAAAAAAAATTAATTTCAAGATTTGTCACAAACAACGTCATTTAGAGAATCAATGAAAATTAACAGGGAACACTAGACAGCTGTTTCATTCTTATTTGGGGCTCTTCACCCACCACCCGACCAGAAATCGAACCGAGAAGCTTTAGGTTACAAAATGAGTTCGCTGACCATCCAACTACTTGAAACACATCCAGCAGTTGACCCATCAATTCTAACTCCTGTATATTTGTGATATCCATAGACTGACTACCAACCTAAATGTTGCATAATACACACAGTCGTAATAGTAGTACCGATTTAAGGTAGACCTCAAAAGCAAACTATCTTACAAAAACTTCACCGTTTTACACCCTTGGCGATACTCCACCTTACGTGTAAGTATTAACGAACGAAATCAGAGTAAAAAGACTTGATATAATCAGCGTGTCTGGACAGAGTTATATTTTATACAAATGAGATATGAAACTTGATAAATAAGGAGTTTATACAACTTATCTGGTGCCTTGATCGGTGGTAGGCTTGGAGAGTGCACTGAATGAAAGCACAACAAGAGAGTGAACTAGATGTGTCCAGCGGAGTTAAAACTCAAAAGATGAAGATGTATCAAACGAGTGGGTGGGTGAGTTAAAACAAAAGTTCAAGGGTTCAATGTGCACTACACAGTCATTTACGATGTCTGAAGGGTTAATTTCTAGGTATCTGACTTGTCTTGAGTTTGATCACGGGGTGATATTACTGCTAGAAAACCATGCAAAGCCAGCGGAGAGTAGTGGAAAGCTGTTGTATAGTACTTCATGACTCATTAGCAGTAAACACCCATCGCCAGGGTTCAAACCCAAGACTTTCTGGCTACAATCCAAACTCATAACACCATTCAGCCACTATCACTGGCGCATATTTATTCTAAAACTCGACCAAACAGACCTCAACGGGTACAACTTTTAGATTCTATCAGTGTATAGGGTTTAGAGAATAAAAGAACACAAGCGATAAAATCAAATAATTTATCTTAGTATAGAAATGCAAAACAATAGTCATATATAATACAAGAGAGAAGTAAAAATATATTTTTTATAGAGTAAAAATGCTGTTCATAAACCACACACATATACTCGTCTTATAGTTTGATTTCAGCAGTATTCTCTGAACTACCAATACACGTTTCAACTGTAGACGAGGGCAGTAGATTAATATTATTATTATTAATGTTATTATTATTATTATGATTATATTCATACTGGAAACCATATGACCACCATGATGATGCCGATAGTCTAGCTTGAATCATTTCAAATAACGTGCATTGTTTAACACAACAAAATAATTTAACATTTGAACGTATTAATTCAAAACGAAAACCATCATACACTGAGGCATTTCTCAATGGATCACATAGTCGTAGTTTCCAGGTTTGGTATATTTGTCTATGTGAATCTGAATTAATATTAAATTTGTTAGGCGAATCTTTATTCAACTGTTTCAATGTATTCTCATCAGAGGCTTGTGATTTCCTTCTCCAACATTCCCATAAATGACTATCACTTGTAGCAATTTTGCGTTTGTCAATTTGACTGCAAGTTGGATGAGTACTGCTCGAAGAAAGATGACAGTAGTGTAGGGAAATGAATTCATTTGGCGGATTAAAGTAGATACTAAGAAATGCTTCAGCTGACATATTATACTGTAAATAGATTTTAAGTCGATTTAATATCATATTTCTATTATGATATGTATGCTGTTTAGTAAGACGTAGATATTTACTTAGTGGACCGAATAATTTTTGAAATATGTATTCACTGGATTTTTGTAACTGATTATCTGATGAAGATTCTAGAGGTTGAGAAGGAAAGAAAAAATTGGAGGAAAAATTAAAAGTAGTATATATATATGTATGCAATAATTCGCCGGTAGTACAGCAGTAGAATGCTAGCCAGCCATACCTCATGTCGTCCGCGGCTCGATCCCCGGCCACTGGACGCACTCACTTACCTGGTTAAGCCAGTAATAAGACTGGTGAAGACAGAAGGTTGCACATGAGTCTAGCAACCCCACATCCTGTAAAAATACATATCACTGTTACCGAAACTTCAGGCCTTTAGCTTGAAGTTCTATGTTTCAATGGGAACATACAGGAATAAAAAATACAATGATTAAAAAACTTTCATACATTTATTCTCATTAATGAATTTGAACAAAGTAAGAACTACAGTTTTTGCAGAATGAAGTGGTCCCATCTTTTATTTCGTTGCCTTCTCATCAACTGCTTACAGGCCAAAGACATTATTAAGTATATCTAAAGAAACAATTTTAACATACTTGCACAGAGCTGATTTTAACCAAAAATCAATTGATCAGTATATGCATACAGTAATGTATATATATATATATGTATATATAAGATAAAACACTATTTCGAACAATAATAATAAGCATTACGCATTCAGATGAAAGAGAGGTGAAAATATCCAATTCCCATGGCAAAGAAAGACTGATAACCGCTTCTTTCTGGACGCATAAATCAGGTTTCAGGCACTTGATGGAAATGGCTTCAGCAAACTTGAGCTATATTGCCTATTGATAATTTTGAACGACTTTTCGACGTCCACCTCATGACCTGTGTCGAGGAGATGCTTGTCGATGGCACTTTTTAAGGCATTCATTCCCTTTAGACATAAGCTTTTTGGTACATGTTCAAAAAAACGTAGATATGCCCTTCTTTCTGTCCTTCCAATGTAACTGCTCCCGCAGATACATGTAAATTTGTATACACCATTGGAGGTAACATGAGAGGGATATCTATCGATTTTTGATTGCACCAAAGAGCAAGTTGTTTAATAGACGGGAACGAGCTTAGCTGCAGGATACGCTATGGCTAGTGATGTTCTCAGCCTTCTGTTGATCATCGCTGCAGTATTTTCACCTTTATAATCAAGCTGAAGGTAGACTGGATTTTTTTCCACTGTGATTTGTTTTGCATTTGTGACTTCAGATCTTCCATACTTGTTGGTGTACCTTTGAGGATACCCATTTCTCTTCAACATCTTTTCAAGAAACTCAAATTCTTCCTTTAATTTCTCTATAAAGCATATTCTCCTCGGTCTATAGTACAGAGTCGTGACTAGTTCGCGTTTAAAGCTGTTTGGATAAAATTCATTAAAATGTAAGCATTGTCCTTTTCATTTAGGCTTTCGGTATGTTGACTTCTGAAGACTACTTCTGAAGACTTTCATGTTCCATAGTGAAGTCAATATTGGCGTGTGCACCACTGAATAATCTGAGTAAGTGTGAAGCATGACTTTCATTGTTGCACACTATAAATGTCTCATCAACATATCAACAGTAGGAAGTTGTTTTGTCGAATGCATGCTTCAACGTTTTCTGCTAAAACAGGGCTAAGTGGACTGCCCATAGCTACACCATCTATTTGGCGGTAAAAAGTGTTGTCAAATTGGAATTACACATCCATGGTACACATAAGCAGTAGGCGTTTGAATTCCAACTCTGGCAGTGCGAGAAGATCAGACTTTTGACAAATGGTCTCAATAGTTTCGTTGATTGGAATCATTATGAACAAGGAGGTTGCATCAAATGACACCATGAATTTATTTAAAACGTTCATGTGGTTCACACTTTCAGAGAAATGAAATGAGTAAACTTTGATTGCACACTGGTAACTAGTGTTACGTGTCTAGTCCTTTATTTGGTACAGACTTATTTCTCTCAGTCAGGTTTGAAATGTGGCCACCATTCTAGGTAGCTAGTTCCTTCAAGGTTGCAGATACGCCTTGCTGACTGATGAGTACCAGCTAGCACGAAACCTAGGTCGAAGGCTTCCTGTGGCCGATTGCCTCCAACTATCTAGTATCATCAGATTAAAAAAAACATTATTATTATTATCATCAATATTGTTATTACACCCTTTGGTTCTGAGTGAAAAACAGGCCTTCATGAGCACATCGTCACTTAATTCTATTTCCGGTGGTCGTTTGTTTTGGCTGACTCAATAACTCCTCATAAGTTTCCATTAACTGCTTGCACGATCTTATCAATGTCACTCACTCTCTGACCCACATTATGATTGTCATTTCCTATTAGGGAGAGATTCAACAGAGGTTAACTCCTTCACTTATCTGGCTAGGAAGCATCATTTCAACTACAGGCATTCAGAATAGATGATGATGTTGACGCCAGTCAGAATTGAAAAGGCAAGATACATCTTCATCAATCTGAAATCAGTTTGGAAATACTTTGCACTAATTCAGTGTAAAGAACAAGATTCGCATTTTTAACACCAATATCAAGTCGGTCGTTCCATACGGGTTAGAAACTTAGCCAGCGTGTAGCGAAAACGATTTCTAGCTGGCTTGAGACTTTAATCAACAGCTGCATTTGCTTCATACTGAAGATTAAATGGCAAGAAATTCTGTCTGGGAACAAACCAACAGGCGGTAGCCGATTGTTCAACAAATATGTAAGAGAAAATAGAGATGGATTGACTGGGCGTACAATGAGGAAACCGTAGAATCATATCGCGCTGATTACAGGCCATTGCTTGGGTGTAATCCAAGTGGGAAGCGATGAGTGGGTCACTGGTGTGTGGGTGACATGAAGGAGATCGTGTCGGGAGGAGGAGATGAGAGATTATGGTCAATTGTAAATTCAGCTGAAGAGGATAGCAGATAGCATCCTGATGGATAATTGTCTGGATAATTGTTATCAACCAGAGTTTGCATCAACTTTCTTTTTTCTTCATCAAGCATGTTCTCAGTGCACATTCGTTGGATTCTACTGAAGAGGCACCTTAGTAAGACTGTTTTGTACCGAACAGGGCAGAAACTGTGATAATTATGATACTGTCCCGTCCAGGTAGGTTTTCTATAAATAGATTTTTTTTACTGACACATCAAGCCATCGACTAAGCAATATGTCTGGGAAAGATAAACACTTATCTTCCTCTTCTACACAGTGTTCGAAATAAGTTGCGCAAATATACATTGCAATACCATTCAGACAAATTACTTCTTCTGATTGCTTTGTCTAATTTATCATAGTTTAGCACAGTTTGTTTTTTAGTCTTTTTCTTAATTACTACCCCTTGAAATTTTACTTTATTTAATCAACACTGTATTGTATTTATTTTCATTATACAACATCCCTAAGGGATGGTTTCTCCTCTTCTTAAATGAATCATTTCACTAATTTAGTTTAAAATTTTTGAATGAGGTTCAGAGAAACTCATAATAATAAGAAAACGTTTTAAACAATAAGGCTTTTGTTGTAGTTTTTTAATGTTCAAATTGAAGCATACAGCTTGAAGCTTTGAAGTTGCATCTGAGAGAGGGTGTTTATTTTTTTCGAGGTCTGACTGCTAAAATTACACCAAGCAATTCCCGCTCTTCTGGGCTTCTTACTGGCTAGAAAACTATATTTGGTCTACGATAGTCTTGTCCAGGAATCAGACGCCGACCTGTTATGTGGATGGTGAGCATTCTTGTATACTGTTTACAATGAATTAACGTTTATGTCATGCATCGAAATTGTATAAGCTAATAGTATGGAGACTATATTTAAATAATCATAATGCTTTTGATATAGTTATGTTCCCCGAGTTAGGTGGATAGTTTATTTGCAAAGCTTACATTGCCCACTTACTAGGCAACATCTTCAGCGTGTACTTTAATTTGATGATGTGAGCTTTCAGATTTCTCCGTGAGTTTATTAGTCATCTCTCTTGGTGACCTTCAACGTCGTGGTTGGCTGTTTTTGTGTCAGTAATTTAAGCTGACAGCCGTTAGCATTTTGAGGCTTGATTTAGCTTTACGCTATCAGAATACGCTCTTCTATCAAATCAATTATTACGTTTACTTAAGGTTTTTGGTAGAGCACAATGCTTCATCAATACATCTTCACTTTGTCTTGTTCTCTAAAGTCGTCTTCAGCTGACTCCACGAATGCCCATAGGCTCTCACCTCCTCCTCACACGATCTCCCCCATGTAATCATCAGACTAACAGACGACCAACTCTTCGTTCCTTGTTTGTATTCCTCTCAAGCGATTGCTTGGTGCACGATATCATTCGACACTCCCTTAAGCGAGTATCTAATCCATCTCAATTTCGTTCAGTACATTCGTTGGTCAATAGGTTGTTAGCCGATTTGTTGTACTGCACAGTTCCTTGTTTTTAATACTTTCTCACCCACCATTCGATCCTCAGTGATCAGCCTGCAAAAGCAGCTGATTTCTATCCTCTTGCGAATGGTTTTTGTAACTGACGAGCCATGTTTCTCAACCATATTGACGAATTGACTGATTCGACATTAGTATTGAAAATACGAATTTCGCTCCTTATAATGAGTGCTGTAGATTTCCAAACTCATTTCCGCCTAATGGAAGTCCGTCTCGCCTTTCCAAATCTGGTTGTGTTTGAGATCCTCTATCTGAAGTTGAAATGATGCTTCCTAGATAATTGAAAGTGGTAACTTCTTTCAAATTGTTATTGAAGCGTATAAACATAAGTCAAAAGAATAGCTGTAGATTAGTCGGCATATACCATATTAGCTTGTTTATTAGATGTATAACACAGTGAAACAGTATTGTTTACTAGATGACACAGTTTCGAACAAAATTTACCATTGTTCATAATCATATCTTCAATTATAATCACACGACTTCGAAACCTGAGTTTTATAGTTGGCTTTGTGCTCTCCTATTTGTCGTCCTAGGGGTAGTAGAATTTTCCAGATATCCATCTGGGACAGGTTGTGAATCATTCCTATTACACGTCTTCGCAGTTGATTCGATAAACTAAGCTTCTCTTATCAATCTCTCAATAATAATGACGACATGCATGTCAAATATGCGCAGGACTATGACAACACCAACAATAGGGAGTTCAGATCATCGGTAGTACTTCCCTACAAGGAAAGAACGTCAGAAACTTCATGTAGAACTTTCAACAGGGCAGGAATAAAAGTGGCTGGATTTCAAACCCATAAATTTAATTAGAAACAGGCTTTGTCGTTTAAAGGATCCTGTGGAGCATTTAAAACAGAACAATTCAGTTTATCTAATACCCTGCCTGTTATGACTGTCAGATCAAATACATAGGCCAGAATAGTAGAACAGGGACAGTCAGAGTAGCCGAACATAAAAGCTTAGCAGCAAAATCTAGATTGGTTGGCCCGGATAAGATAAGAAAGATGGATAACAGAAGCCTAGTTTATCGAATCAACTGCAAATCAACACGTGTAATAGGAATGATTCAACACCTGTCTCAGATGGATATCTGGAAAATTCTACTACCCATACGACGACAAATAGGAGAGCACAAAGCCAACTATAAAACTCAGGTTTCGAAGTCGTGTGATTATAATTGAAGATATGATTATGAACAATGGTAAATTTTGTTCGAAACTGTGTCATCTAGTAAACAATACTGTTTCACTGTGTTATACATCTAAGAAACAAACTTATATAGAGTTATTATAGGTTTCCAAACCGTAGATGTTACGAACTTCCTGGAATAATTTGAGTACCAAGTCAGATTTCATATCTGCTGAAGAAGCTATGGCTTACACGGCGAAAGGTTCAGAAAAATCTTGTTTTGATTTTATTAACACGCTGGGATTAATTTAAATAATCTATAATAATACAGAATGAGTTACGACCACAATACCAAGTTTTAAACATATATTGGTCAGCATAAACTGGGTATTTCGATCATTTTCATTTATATTATGGAGTATATTCATGGCAACGTTAAAATACCAAAACTTCCAGTGTTTATAAGTTGATTATTATTAGTATAGATATGGATGTCAATACGCAAGACCAGTATAAAAAAGTCGAAGATACAAAACTGTGTTGCTTGTAGTATGATTAAGCTGCAGTCAGAGCGACTAAACCCAAGTAAAATATTTGAACTGGAGGCGGGCTATTCGGAATTTCCAAAGATAATTTGGTGACAAATCAATGTTAAACGTCTGCTCTACAATTTTTCCCAAACTCATAAATTACCCCTAAATACCGTGAAAACTCCCTTAAATTGATTTTTCTAAGCGAAAACGAATCACTATCACATTATTCTATTGAAACGTTTCTGAAGATGTAATAGGATTCAAGCTAGGTGTTATTGATTAGTATAAAGCTGCTCTATCAACCTATTCAATAGAATAGCAGTTGGAAATACCAGATATGGACCTAATATCCTCTTCTGGTATAATGATATTCATCTACGTATCTTTACCGGTATTAGATGATTGAAGACAATCTGCAGGAAGCCCTGCCTAGACCCAAGCTTCGTACTAATTGGCACTCACTAGTCAGCAAAGCTTATCTGTAACTTTGAAGGAACTCATATCTTTTCTGAAGTTTTCACCGGAGTCACCCAGCAAGTGCTGCTGTCAGAGACGTGTTTTTTAATTCATTCACGTTCCCAGTGGAACATAGGGCTTCAAGCTTTAGCTTTGAAGTTTCATTAGCACTGGTGTCTATTTTCATGGAATGGGGCAGCTAGTCTCATGTCCAAATATTCCTCCTTGTCTAGCTAAGGCAGGTAAAGGAGTGCGCCCGCCTGGACTTGAACCCCGGACCACGTACATGGTCGGTTGACGCTCTACCACTGAACCACCGACGCACTAGAGAAGTGTTACCCCTGGGCTATTCAGGTTGGTTCACGACTGACCTCCTTTAGGACTGACTGTATGGGATATTTTTGATTGGACACTAGTCAGCAACTAGTAACGACATATCTTTGTTTAGTGTTCGTAGTCAACACCTAACAAGAAGGCGGAATATTAACTCATGGATAATCTCTATCCAGGCATTAATGAAAACAAAACACGTAGATCAGAGAAGAATCTCTTTTCGGCGGAGAATTCATTTTCTTAGCTGTACAATCGCAAATATATATGTGTTGTTTTGTATGTATGTGTACGTTAAGTTCGTCAAACAAAATTACAATGGGTTAGGGTTATTTTAACTAAATAGGTGAAGGTTGGTAATACAAGTCAAGAAAATTAAGTATTAGTGAAACTAGCGTAGTAACAAAGGTGATGAGTTGTCACAATCAGTTGTTAAAAGTAGTTATGTAATTATATGAATAGTTTGATGAGTGAGTTTTACTTAGGATGCACATAGAAACAAAGTAGATAATACGAAGTTATGTGAGAGATCTAAGTGAATACAAGAATTATGAGCAATTAAAGAACAAGCAAAGAAACAAAATTAAGTCATCAGAATAAAAACCCAAAACAAATCAAATCAAAAATGTTTTTGCCGTGACAGTAGAAGTGGTTGAGTAATTCTCTTTTGTATGCACAGCTCCGGTTTTTTCATATGAATGGCCAGAGCTTCAGAGATACAAAGGAGACGAAACCGTATTGCCTTTGATAGGTTATTCTTGACTCTGTAGATTACTTTGAAGGAGGCGTTTGTTGAAATGGAATGATTAGTGTTAACCATGTGTGCAATTATCGCAATCCTTATTGCACTACTATTGCCTTTTCGCAACCATGCTGGATAGTGTTCTTGAATCCTCTTGGACAGGATGCGCGTCGAATGACCGATGAACCTGGTTCCACAGCAGCAGGTGAACTGATATATGCACACGGAATTGGACAGATGCAGGATCTTGTCCTTGAGGCTTCTGCAGATCAGTGGGCGACTGGAGAACACTATTCATAGCGTTGCTGCAAAGAGATGATGTGATCCTTCTCTTGAGAATATCGCTTGCTAAATCTCCCTTGAAATCCAAGTTCATGTAGAGTTTCTTTTTATGCGCAATTAAAGTTTCGTTTTTTCGAATTATTGGTTTCATATTTTTGTCGATAAATCTTATTGGGTATCCATTTTGGATGAAGATTTCTCTCAGAATATCTAGTTCTGTTTCCAGAACGTCGGGACTACAGATGCGTCGGATGAGGGTGGCAAGTGATTTAATTAAATTTCGCTTTTGTTGAATGGGTACCAAGCTGTAGAAGCTTGTTAGTTGACCATTTTTGACGTAGGTTTTCTATGAATTGATCTTCTTAGGCTCCCATCAACTCTTCTTGTTAGTTCCACATCAAGAAACGAAATTTTCAACTCGTTTTCCATTTCAAGAGTGAATTTTATTGCTACTAATATTAATTCATACAAGAAAACAAATATTTATGCTTAAGAAAAAAAGTAGTATCAGTAGTTTCACACAAAACTTACCAGTAGCATTTTGTATAAAATCTGCTTTACCATATGCTCCACTAAATAAACTATTCATTAATATAAGCAGTCGCAACTGACATTTTCTTTTGTACTTTGCATAGCTAACTTCACTTTTTAATCTTCTTGCAGCGTTGACATTCTGTTCATAGATATCAGGCATTTTAAGAAAATCAAATGTCTCCAGCGATTTCCGCTGATTCTTTGTTTTCGTCTTCTTCTTCTCTGTACCTTCATCATTGTCATCTTCATTGTCCAGAACTACTGGTTGACTATCCGTACAATCTGTTTGGTGTTTAGAATTCTCAGTCGATGCAACAGTTACACTACTGTTGCTTGGACAACAACTTAATGGATGATGGTCATGGGATGCTCTGACCATTTGTGCAGGATAACATTCGTCATTATTATTATTATTGCTAGTACTACTACTGCTTTTTAATGAATTCATTGCTTTGTGCTTTAGTACTGTCATTTCTTTAGAGTTGTCATCAGAAATATGGTGTAGCCGTCTACTGGCATAATGTCGTTTACCATCTGACAGACTGGTGAATTGATTATACTTTGAATGGCGTTTTTGACGAACGATTATCGGGTCGTAAGGCTGAAAAACATAAGGAAATAATAAAAACAAACAACAAATTAGCCCACTGAATTAATTAAATGTTTAGAAACATATAAAAAACCCCAAAAAAGGAAATGATAAAATCAGGTTATCAGGTGTTACTTTTTGTAGGGATTTCATTAGTTTGAGATCTGATCATTGTATTGATAACGGTTAGCAAATCATTCAGAAAACAAGGAGTACTCGATAACTGCTTCATCCCAGCTCAGGGTTCTTCAGGTTCAAACGCTGGTGACTCTATCGGGAATCATACTGAAGACATTTACGTTACGAGATGAACTTTCTGACTATTCAGCCATATGGGTAGGAATTTAATGGCTTATGAATTTTAACTTCTGTAAATTCGTCAGACGTCGTGACCAGTGGGGTCCATCAGAATGTGTGTGTGAAGAAAAATACTGAGGGTGGCGCTAAAAATCCTGAAGTGACAAAAGTTAGAATTCATATGCTGATGGCTGAATTTTCAATGACCTGGTCTTTGACATGATCATTAATATACTTGGTAGTTTGTGTTGACGAATACCCCACTTAGTTTATTTGCAAGCCTGCTGCTTCAATGACTATTAACGACAACAACGACACAATACGATACCACCAGAAGTGCAACACGACAAGACAAGAAAATACAAATGCAGACCGTTGACGTAGAGAGCTTTGACTCACTCGAATCAATAGCATAAGTGGTTGACACCAGTTACGTATTTATAAATGGCCTTGAGAGACACCAATTAAATTGATAGGTTAAAAACAGTCAACAACCAATCGGGCTAACTAACATATGTGTGAAACTTGGGCACTGTGGTAGTAAGTAATTCCATATTAATTTGTTTCTTAGATGTATAACACAGTGAAACAGTATTGTTTACTAGATGACACAGTTTCGAACAAAATTTACCATTGTTCATAATCATATCTTCAATTATAATCACACGACTTCGAAACCTGAGTTTTATAGTTGGCTTTGTGCTCTCCTATTTGTCGTCGTATGGGTAGTAGAATTTTCCAGATATCCATCTGAGACAGGTGTTGAATCATTCCTATTTCACGTCTTCGCAGTTGATTCGATAAACTAAGCTTCTGTTATTAATCTCTCCCTTCACCTTAGTGTAACATTAGATTTTAAAATTGTCATCCTATCCCATCCTGTTGTATGGTTGTGTAAAATTGCTTAAAGTGTAGTGCCATAGCTGAACTATTCTCTAGATTTCATACCTTATTCGGGTCAACCGTATTCATCAGTGATAGCAGTGATAAGGATAATAATAGTATTAATCACGATATGCAAGTCAAATGTGCGCAAGACAACACCAACATTAAGGAATCTAAATCATCAGTAGTAATCTCATACAAGGAAGGAACCTCGGAAGCCTTACGCAGAATTCTTAACAAGTCAGGAATAAAAGTGGCTGGAATTCAACGCAACAACAAACTCAATTAGAAACAAGCTTTGTCGCTTAAGGGATCAATCCTATGAGCCAATAAAACAAAACAATTTAGTTTATCTAATACCCTGCCTGCGATGATTGTCAAGTCAAATATAGGTCAAACTAGTAGAACAGGGGCAGTCAGACTATCCGAGCATATAGACCTAGCAAAATCTAGATTAGTTAACCCGAATAAAATAAAATAATTCTACAGAATATTTCAACCATAGAAGTACATGCAGTTACACACAACCATACAATAGGATTGGATCGGATGACAGTTTCAAAATCCAATGTCACAGGGTATAAGGAGAGATTGATAACAGAAACTTTGTTTTTGATTTGACACTAGTAACTAGTGTGATGCGTCTAGTCCTCAGAAGCTTTGTTTATCGAATCAACTGCAAATACGTGTAATAGGAATGATTCAACACCTGTTCCAGATATCTGGAAAATTCTACTGCCCCTAAGACGTCAAATAGGAGAGAACAAAGAAAACTTTAAAACTCAAGTTTCGAAGTCGTGAGATTATAATTGAAGGTATGATTATGATCAATAATAAATTTTGTTCGAAACCTTGTCATCCAGTAAATAATATTACTATTCCACTGTGTAAAATATCTAATAGACAAATTATGCGGAACCATGCACATGGTTCGTATTTCGATCTCCAGCCGTCGCACTCCTTTACCTCGCCAAGCCAGAAATAAAGCTGGTAAAGAGAAAAGGTTGGGCATGAGGCTAGCAACCCGATCCTGTAAAATAAACACTGCTACAGAAATTTCAAGCCACTAGCATGAAGCCCTATGTTTCACTGGGGAACGTGAAGGAAAAATATGGATCCAATCGAGCTCCAAGGTAATAAGTGTATGTGTGTGTGGGTGGGTGAAGAAATATAAACAGTACTGTGATGATAAAAAAAGTATGCCTATATAACAGTCCGGCAACCTGAATGTTTCAAGGACGATCTCTCATGGTAGAGTCATGGGTGGTAACTGATGAAGTGTCCCAAACAAGGATGAAACAACGTAGTCCAGTACACCCTGGTTCAAAATAAAAACAATTTTTCTGGTATGTATCCTTATTTCGTTTATAAATGAATGGCTTTTTACCAATAAAAAAACAAATATTTTAATTATAAGTAAACAAACGATAAGTAATTATCGATTCAAAAAACGTGTTCGCGTGCATATAAAACAATGTTAATATTTCCATGTGCTTTCGTAAACAAATTCATCACTGTTTGAACACTGAAAATATATATAAAGCAGTTAGATAGCTTATCAATCTATCGAAATTATAACTTATTACCATAAAATTGAGCAGAGTAAATCGAAATCAGGAATTTATTCACTGGTGAGTTCTATTTTTATTTTAGGCTTTATTTATTTAGTTAGTTGTACTGCTTCGTATCATAAAAAGTTATTTATTTCAACGTTTTCGTGTCATTACTAAATTATCACTACATTTGGTTGAGTTGTAGTTAGTGTACATTCCACTTTTTAGAGGATTTATTGTAAATATAAAGCTTTGCCTTCATTCCTCTGAGTCGCAAGTGGAACTAAGGTCTCTAGATGTGAAGGTTTAGAGTTTCAGTAGCCGAGATATTGATTTTTTCCCAAAGGGATGGGGTTGCTGAACTCGCACCCTACGTTGAACACTTTTCAGGCCTACCGTCAGCTGGTTTAGGAGTGGGCCAATTTAGGAACGAATCCTGGACCATGTGTGTGGTTGGTGAGCATCCTACCGGTGAACCAGTGATTCATAAAGCCAGCAAAACCTGGCTTTCTCAGCCAGTCAGTTATTCAAATACTAGGCATGACAAACTTTGCTTAATTCTTATTATTAGACAAGAATCGGCGTTTAAAACGTGTTATGGGCACCCAAGAAGCAGAATTGCCAGAGAGCTTGCCTTAGTTACCTTAAAATCTCATGTTCGATATTTTTTGCGATCGCTGGTCAGCTATGCTGAATATATGTTATTTATTCCCAGAGTCAAATTTAGAACAACACATTTAAGCGAACAATAATGTTGTTTTCAATTAGATCTCATCAGGCTTAACTTTAATATGCCTACATAACTTTACAAATGAAAATTCAAACATAAATCGATCATGGTGTTTTGTCTATAAGATAATAAGATATAAAAGAAATGTTGTTAAATGTCTTACGAGCAGAGCAAGAAAGATATGCACGGATGACCTCTTACAAAAGGAGTTTGAATATATTCACGATTCCCTGGCGGACATGGGCTAGTTTTATAAAGAAACATATGAAAACATCAGAGAGAAAACCTGAGACTGTGACTGCACGTAAAAAACCTCTATTTAAGTTACAATTCCATGGTGACTTATCAAGTGAGATTTTACTCCAGAAACTTTCCTGGACTATACAAGAACACTTCATGCAGCACACCTATGTTTGCCATTCTCTAGCCGACGAATGATTAGGACGCTAACGAGGGATAAGCTGGATAGTTTTGCCATATCTGTGTGCATTTATCAGTTCAACTGTACCTGCGTTGACAGTTATGTTGGGCACACTACTACTAGACAGCTTAGCCAACGTGTTAGTGAACATCTCTCATCTTGGTGGTTTGGCAAAGGACGGACAAATACAATCCGTAACTGAATTTTGTCACATTTAATTGATAGTGATTATGTAGTGGAGGTAACAAAAGCATTCAAAATAATTCATTGTATCCCGCTGAATCTTTCCAATACACTTTGTATTCGTCTTCTGCACACACACACAGCTGAGGCGATAGGCATTCGAACTATTAAGCCTAAACTATTCATTCAAAAAAGTTCGTACAGCCATTATCCTTCCCTCGGCCTATTAAAAAATAACCAACTAATAACTTCTAAACCACCCCTTGATTGTATTTTCAATCCCTTTCTTATCATCCCTTCATCTTATCACTAAAAACGTGTTTCATTTACTTCCCTTACAATCTAGCATTACTTAATCGGTTCATTTGTTTTTACTAGGCTCTATCGACTACCACGTCTACCTGAACATTTGTCTGTTTAATCAGGCTGTTTTTTTATTATTCGTGTTATCACAGATTGCCTGACTTCTTCATCCTTATTATTGATAAAGCCATTATTATTACTATTATTATTATTATTATGACTAATTGCACAATTTATATTCACCATCTTATTATCCTATAAACAAAACACCATGATTGGTTTATGTTTGAATTTTTATTTGTAAAGTTATGTAGGCATATTAGAGTTAGGCCTGATGAGATCTAATTGAAAACAATATTAGAGAAGATTTGTAACTCAGGTGGATGATTTGCAATTAATAGTGTTCTCTGAGCTGGTCGGTTTAGTTGCGGAGCTCTCGTCGTCCTTCTCGACGACATCTCCAGCGCAGTATTCAGGATAAAGTAAAATGATTTAAATTTCTTCATGAGTGATATAATTGCGTCTCCTGGTAACCATCTTTAGATATGTACTGACCGTTCTCTATTGACTTAGATTTTTAAACTTTCTGATCACCTGATTTACTTTTTATTAATTGGTATATTTGGTCTATGTTAACGTG